GGCGGTCAGTGTGGATATTGTGGATGAGTTCTTCTGTGTCATCACGTTCTATTAGTTCTACAGCTTCAGTTTCAGAGCTTTCACGCTTAGTAACACATACAGCTGTTCCCTCACCACAGTGCAACAGTGAAAAGGGACTTTTTTCAAACAGTGTCGCGTTCCGAACGTTGTTTAAGCGACATACACCGATATTGCGGTATTTTAAAAATTCATATCATAACAAAAATAAAAACCGGTATTCGGTATGAACCGGTATACCGCCCAGCACTAGCTACGATTTAATTAAGTAATTATATGCGATGCAGTTATAGGCGTGTAGGTTAAGTACGTGCGTCACACAGCGGCACAGTAGCTCCACAGGAACTGATATCATTTACACGTGTGGAGCGGCTCAAACTCCATCTGTGCATGTTGTTGTGAGTTTGGGTTTATTATAACGTTCATCTGGGAACGCAACATGTGCCATTTCATCAGATTTGTAAGGTTAATAATTTATAAATCCACGCAAACCCAGGAGAATACATCATTATCTTGCTGTTTCAAAATAAAAGCTCAAACCCTCACTCTGAGTTTACACGTTTTGATGTCCACATATTCATTAAATTACAGTGGCTATAGCATTTCTGTCCTAAACAAATGGCCAAATATTAAAGATTACGTGGACATTTTAATTAAATGATGCTTAGTAAATATTAAATAAGTATTAGATCGCACAGTAATGTGTAAAAACAATCATCAGGCCGTTGGCGCCCTCTGCAGGCCTTTGTTGTAATGCGTACTGTACATTAGCTATATTCACTGATCTATAATAGAGATTATATTATATTATTTTTTAATTATATATAGATCAGTGGCTCTATTACATTATAATACAGTATTTTAACAGTCTGTTCGATAAAACCATATGATTTCTTGCTGTTGATACTTTATTTGAACTAATTATTATTGCCTCATTGCTATTATATATGTATTTTAAGTAAATTTAAAGGCTTTTGTTCACTTAACCTACATACATTTTTATTACCACAAAAATTAATTATTAATTATAATATTTTATTATTTGTAGACCAGAACACGTGGACATGTTGTTATTCTTACACTATAATACTGAACTTTGATTTCAGTGATTTGTACTATGAGATGGACACTTGCTTCTTGCACTTTACTTTTGCTGTAAAAAAGGATTTAATAGAAATTTGGATTTCATTTGGAGTTTCACTACTGAGGTCCTCTGTTCATTTTTTTCATCATGCTGGAGATGTCTGTTTAAATCTGTTGTTTACACATTTCTATTTTTAATACTTACACATTTCACTTTTAATACTTACAATTTTTAATAATAACTTTTAAATATAGCTGCAAGCAGCAATCACGGGGCCAAGCACTCCAGAGGCAAATTGAGAAGCTAAGCATGGCATGGAGCATCAGACCAAATGCAACAATGAGTAATAAAAGCAATTTTAGGATGATTGTAATTGAAATGGCTGAAAAATCATAAATACAACCATTAGTAATATGATTTATTGGCTTATCACTTTTGACCAATAGGTGGCGCTGTTACCAAATTGATGTGGCGTGGTCAGTGTGAGGTGACAATGGCACAAACAAAGTTTAGTGTCATTATGTCAAATATGTGCAGAGATACAGCCTCAGATGCAGTTTGGCAGAAGAATATCAAAAAATTCAGGAGTCAGCTGTCAGCACAATTAGAGATAAGATATCAGCACAATAACACACTCTATAGCAAAATATTGTCTATTTATCGTTATCGATAAAATCCCAGAAAATATCGAGATATAATTTTTTGTCAATATCGCACACCCCTAAGTGGCGCTGTTCAAAAAACAGTTTCGTTTATCGACACTCAACTTGAATTCCATAACTTTTTGCCAGCATGGTCTGAAGATGATCGGAGCCAATTTTGGTGAGAATCTGACAAACCGTCTAGGACGAGTTCGAAAAAGTATGTTTTACGAACAATTAAAAATAGCGAAAAAACTAAACCTTCGGTGCTTGGCCCCTAATAATATTTTAATACTTGATTCTAGTGGACTCTAAACATTGCGTTTATTTAATGTGAAAACCCAACTGTTGGGGTTAATTAAAACAGATTTTTTTCCCCTTTGTAGTTGCACTCACAGCTGTAATGAACAGAAGCCCAGAACATGTGGATATATTGACATTAGGGCTGCATGATAAATCGCATGCGGTATTTAACGCGCATCTTACCAGTGAAGCCGGTTCTGTAATCAGCGGTAAATCTCCATCACCTGCGGGATTTCACATTGAGCAGCATTAACTACAACTGACGAGCTGTGCAAAAAATCGCGCGAATATGAACGTGGTTTTGCGCAGCTCGTCAGTGATCACCCGCAGGTGATGGAGATTTACCGCTGATTACAGAACCGGCTTTCTGACATGATGCGCATTAAATATCGCATGCGATTTATCGTGCAGCCCTAATTGACATTAAGAACATGCTGACTTTCTCAGACTTTTGTAATTATTTTCTTTTTATTTCATTTTTATTAGGTTTGTTTACATTTTTACTCTTTTAGTTTTACATTTCGTCAATGGCTTGTTTACATTTATACTTTTTTATGGTACACTACTGAATGGCAAAGTTGCAAGATTAATAAAATGTTCTTTAAAATTGTTTATTTTTTTGTGTGGGAAATTAATCGTTTAGATTAATCGATAAATTAGTCGATAGATTAATCAAAATCAAAATAGTCTTTAGTGGCAGCCCTAGACCAATAAACAAAACAACTGACAAAACTTATTGAGGAGGGAAAATAAAGCTCTCCGAGCTAACAGGGCAATGAGTTCACACAGTATATTCAAAAGATGTATGTCACATCAACTCTTATGTCTGCAAACCATAGCTGTTTTGTGGAGCACTTCTCATGACAAACACCTGACTGATCAGACAGTTTAGCTGTGATTGCGGAGTGCTTGATTTGATGCAGACTTGACAGAGAGTACTGCACCTGATCGTGTCTGAATGATCATGGAAGGTCAAATAATGATCACAACTATTACATCAGTTTAATTAAGCATCCCAAGCCCATGCCAGTATAAAAAAAAAACAGCCCAAAGTAGCGCAATTACCATGTCCCAAATATAAAAATGTCATTTCCATCCCTAAAATACATATTTTACAGTCCCTGTTATGCATATTTATCATAAACACAGCTCAAATGCTTCCAACAATCCAACGCTCTCCGTTGACTTTGTATTGCGGGAAGCTGTGTCCTTGTCATTTCTGACTTATAACAAAACACAGAGCAATGTCTAAAAGCTGCTGTGTGACAAGGTGTACAGTAAACAAGCTAAAAAACCCAGAACTACATTTTTATAAGCTGTCGACCCCAAAAAATGAGCGTTTAAGGACACAAATAGTTGTCAGGGTATTTCACGTTGGGACGTTCAGTTGGATAATTTCTCAAACAAAAGGAAGGTAAGGAAAAGGGGCACTGACTTAGACCAATAAAGTTTAGTTTCTCAATATATCTCCTCCTCTCAGGTTCACATCGGGTTTACTTCAGAGTCTACGATCCTCCACACCTACTCAAACAGAGCGTTCTGATGAGGGGTCAAAACAGGGCAGAAAATAGACTATTACTTCTAAATTATGTTTTTATTTATGTAAAGATCTTGAAAACAATACAAGAACAGTACAAAAAAGTATGTCAACTAACAACTTACCCAGATTCAGTTCAACTCAAATAGCTTGGACTAGTAAAACTGTCAGGTTTTGGAGGTCAGTTTGTAGCAGAGCTTCTATGAACTCAATAACAATTCTCCAATGAATGAACGAATGAATGAATGAATGTTCACACACAGAAGTGACATCAGAACAACATCCTGCTGTAAAGCGGACATGACGACAGCAGAGAGGAATCACACCTAACCAAACCCATTTCCTTCAGGGCTGTGATTATTGGACACGGGTTATTAAGATCAGTTCCCTCCCAAATAACGTTAAGTGTCCTTTAGCAGAGCGTAACGTGAAACAATACTGACTTCCTAACAGTGTTTCACCTCAACTTCTGTGAAGTCACATTAAAACTCTCTGAAATCCCTCCGAAACCTGGAAAATCAAACGACAGAAGCTTACTTAACCAGGTCCAACCATCTTAAATCAGGTCTAACCCCGTTTCACAGTAGCCAGGCAAAGCAGACAGATGTTAGCTCCATCAACACTTCTCTGCTAATACAGCGAGCTATTGTTACAGTAGTAAACACACGATCGCTCTCACGGAGTAAATACCTGCTGCTGCTGCCGTGTCACAGCACGACTCCTGTAGCGATACAATCCGCTAAAACTCTGCGCAGTCGGTAAGATACAGACCAGCGGACGCGGCTCACTCTCCAACCGACGTGGCATTTAGTCAACACACGGAAATCCCGCGAGACTTTAGATCAGTGCGTTCCGAAAGGCGCAAAACAATGAAATAACGCGATATTGCAGACGTCAAGCCAGATGCGAATGCTGTACGTTAAATACTAGTGTTGAACCTATTTTTAAAAGCTGTTTATCATTAGTATTATTTTAAAGGCATCTTTTTTTCGTTGCACATTCTTCATATAAGTAACTGTAATATAATTACACATTTTTCCTCAGTAACTGATTACGGTTACATTTATTTTGTAATTAAATTGCTATTTTGTAATTCATTTACTTGCATGTATCTAGTTACTTCCCAACACAGCACTTCAGTGTAATAAAAGGCGTAAAGTTCATTCATTAAATCCAGCAATAAGCAGCATTGAAGACAGTAGTGTTGTCATTCAGATCCAGTCAGGTCAGTGCTGACTCAATTCAGCTCAGTAACAGGGTCAATGTTGCACAATTCATCAATTATGAACCAATTTGATTCAGCTATAAAGCAATAGTGACAATAGTGTCATTAATCAGCTCAACTCAGTTCAAGTTTTGTTCTCATCCACCGTAAAATTGATGGTATTACTGAATATTAACATTAAACTGAATTTAACATCTCAAATGTTTCTCCTATATACTACCATATAATATATATTAATAAACAAATTATTCAAGGATTAAGTCAGAAGACATCATTTAAACAAAAAAAGAGGCTCCAAGGTTGCGGGTCCCATTCCTGTAAACTACTTTGATGACAGCCTCACACACTGTATAGGGGCATTCTGTGTCAAATCAACCACATTTCAGAAACTTCCCCGGCTCAAATTTTTGATATATATTTTTCTGAAGAAAGATAAACATGTCGAGTGAGGAATGTCAAAATATTAAATGTCACAAATGTATATTTACCGAGTAATCCACTATTACTCAACTTTCAAAAATGACAACTTTCACCTGAGATTTGGAGCCAAATCACAGGGGTAAAAATGACTTTAGCATCATATGATTTTTACACAGAGACTTTGGCAATATTTTTGCATTATATGACAATGGTGATCATTCAAAAATGGGGAAAAAGCACTGTAAGTTCTCCAAAGTTTGCACTTCTGTAACACAAGTAGTATTAAAGATACCTTAATGCCCTTTTAGATTCTGGGTCTTAACTTTTCTTTTGGCATCTTCAGTTTTAAGGCCCTGTATGGTTCTGTTCCAGAGATATTCGGGTCTCAATATGCCTCCAGGCGTAAATGGTTACAGTTTTTTTCGATTGCTTAAACACTTGTCCACTCAGATTTCATCACATTTTCAAAACGGTTAACACACCGGCTGAAACTGAAGCTCACTGGCCAAAATGATGACTTTTGTTTGCAAAATGCTCCAACATTCACAAAACGTGCAACATAAGCAAATACTTCCATCAAACACCACAACATGTGGTCAAATTCATTTATTCTTTCAATCAAGCATTGCACAATGGACCACAAAATACAAAACACAGCTATCAATATGAAATTACACTGTTCAAACTCAGAAGTGTTGAATATAGTTAAACAAAAACAGAAAATTATGGGTGGGAATATCTAAAAAAATAATAAATAAATAATAATATAATAGAGTTGAAATACTCATAACTTGACAACGGATGTTTTTCCTTGCAGTGTTGCAATGCACCTCCTTGCATGTCCAATCCATCAACAGCCCTCTCTCTCTTTAGCTGAAACCAGTCTTTCATTTAGTGCTTCAAGAAAAGTGATGAGCATTCTGCATTGAACTGATAGTGTGCATGTGTATCACTGGAGATGGCAGCACACATGGTGATATTGGCGCCCCTCTGACCTGACACTAAAACAGTGACCCTCTGCCCAATAAATGATCTCCCGCATCTCCTCACTTTACAGAGGTTGAAGCTGGCTTGATCCACAATTAATTTGTGATGTGCCCTTTCAGATTCAACTACATTATTCTCTGGAAAAAAGCAAATTCATAGAGCAAATTATTCCAGTTGCATGGAACCGTATGCATTACAATAACAAATCATATCAAAATTGACATTATGTCAAACACATAAATGGGACTGATGAAACATCTGCATTACTGTAGACACAGTTTGTTCTGGCAATACAGTAAAGCTGACATACACAGTAGTTTACAGTAACATTGTCACTTATCTGTTGTCATTCTGAAACATGCCTGGCAATAGATGTCAAAGTGCTCCGACTCAGAATGGGTTGAACCCTTCGTCCAGCCTCTCTAAAGGACAAACTGTGACTGATGACTTGGTCAATAATTATTGCCTGAAGTTCATTTGAATCTCGAGTTGCATGTTCTCCTTTTACAGTAATGCGGCTCCTCCACCATGCATGCAAACTCCTCTTTCTCTGGCCCTCTGCCCGCTCTCTTACTCTGCTTCCATGCCTTTGGCCTCTTTGTTCCATACTTGCAAATAGCAGGACAGAGGTGGTATCTTTTGTAGAGGGATGAGGACTGATTGCTGACTGAAGAGTTGTGCAAACGAGTTTCACACAGGTGCATTAGAGATTCATAATTATGCTAGTACTTTCTATCAGCTGTGAATAGATGTTTTCCTTTTGTTCAACACAGTGAATCCAATGGAGTTTGGGGTCTTTCAGTGAGATCTGTGGTGACTGTCCTGACAAAGGGTGTGAAAAATGTGTGAAACTAATAAAAAAGTGTTAAGACATTTACAAGAGAAGACTTCTGCTGTGCTAAGAAGGTGATGATGAAGATCAAGTGGATCCCGTTTCATGGATCCCGTTGCGTGTCTTAGCAAATGAGAAAAACTGTAAATTGTGCATATTTTCAGTGGTCAAAATATGTGTATTTCAGATGCATCAAGTCCCATAACCTCATCATCTGCAGAGAGAAACTGCCACTCAAACACACCAAAATGATGGACTTAAAGGCATTTTAGAGGATTGTGAAGCTATTTCACTGGAATTTAGTCTTCATCACATATATTTTTTGTTTTTATTTTGTGTTTTACTTCTTTATGTATTTATTCATGTTCAGTGTCAACTGTTGTTAAGAACACTGACATTTTTGCTACAATTTCACATCAATAAAAAAGTACCTAATTCACACAATATGTTGTTGCTGTTGTTGCTTTAATGTAAATCCCTAATAGAGGCTACACGCAAAAAAAAAAAGATGACTCATTACTGATTTTTTGGACTTCAGCCATCCAACTACACAGACTGTCAACACACTCTCAACAGGTAAATGATTTCTTTCTTAAAATGTCTATTATTTTCAACTTTTAAACTGTAACTGGTTTCCTACCAATCATGTCTTTTTCCTCTTTTTAGTTTAAGAGAACATGTAAGTGCGACCAGCTCTGTTCAGTTAAGGATACTTCTTTCCCCATCTCCACTAAGTAAGTAACAAAGATATTGAATTTATGGTCCATATTGTTAGATTTATTTATTTATTTATTTTTATTACTTGGGTTTATGCATAAACATAACATTGTGAAGTGCTCACATACTGCTTTTGGCCTTCATAAAAATAGTTGTTTTTACAAAAACAATTGGAAGGAGGCGCATTGTAACTCTAAACTTATTTGTGCATTTCAGATGCTGTCACATCCTATAACCTCGTCATCAGTTTTCTGTTTCTATTTTTGTTTTACTTCTTTAAGTATCTATTTATGTTCAGTGTCAGTTGTCATTTTCTAATGTATTCTGCTAATAACGGTTGTTAGATCACTGTCTCTTTTTGCTACAATTTCACGTCATTAAATAAAATAAAAAATACCTAATTGACACAACATGTTGTTGTTGTTGTTGTAAGACCAGGCAGATAGAGGGGTAAAAAAAACAATAGTAATAAATAATTTATTCAAATAATATGAGTAAAACTAATATGAATGATATAAACATACTCATATAAATGAAAATAAACTATCATTAAAAATATTATATTTAGCACCTTGAAGGTTCTATATAGTACTTTCAAAGCATGGTTCTTTATGGAACCCTTTAAAAAGGGTTCTATTTAGCACTAAAAAGGGTTCTGCTGTTGTTACAAGCTGAAGAACCCTTTTCTGGTACTGTTTAGAACCATTTTTCTTAAGAGTGTACAGTATGTGGAAAATAATGTGTTTTTTGAACCTTAAACCATGTAAACATTGCATTACACCAAATACACAAACTAATGTTCTTTTTAGCAACATCATATGACCCCTTTAACATGCCCCTCTTCCACCGACGCGGTTCCAGCGTGGGCCTGTGTCCGCATCTCCACTGCAGGAAAGATGGTTCTGGGCCAGAACGATGGGTTCGACTCCAGCACTTGCTCTGGTCTGGAACGGATCCGGGGAGCGGAGAAATGCTGACGCTGTCTATGGCAGTCTCACTCAGCAGTGAAATAACATTGCACTGCATTGCTCTGCATGTCGAAATATACAAAAGTGTGGACAAGAGAGAATCAGTGTGTGAGACAACGGTTTCGGTTTCAACTTATCTCCAAAAAGGACAGATGATGCAGCTGCCCGTATGCTGTAATCACTCCCGGGACTGTGAACCGCAGAACAGAAGTTATAGTCTGGAGGAAAAGCTTAGCAACTTCAAACTCTACTGGAATCAGATTCTGTTTCTCTGCCACACAGAGTTTTTTTCTGTCTCTGTAGAGAGTGTGCATGTGTGCACTGGAGCACAGCCTCGTCTGCCCCCAGAGTCAAACGCTTCTGCTGACTTTTGTAGTCAGTGACAGACACGTCCAATCAATCATCCTGCCGTCCAGTCTGGCTGTTTTTTCAGAAAGATCTTCTCCTTCAAGTTCAGAGCTCCTCTGCTCTGACCCCCGAGCCTCAGACGGGAGACGCCATTGTCCTGATGCTAATCCGTTCGATCACAGCCATCTGCCCGGCCGCCCCGTTCCCCGCGACCCTCGACCCGCCGGCCTCTCCTCGTCCTCCAGATGAGCGCCGGAGTTCAAGGTGACCAGCCGTCTCTCTCGGTGCTCATGATCACACGCTCCGCTCTTCTTCAG